GGGAGGGAGGGATGGAGGGAGGGAGATCGGTTGGTCTACAGGAAGTTGTCAGAAAAAAGTGATGGAGAGATATGGGAGGTGTTGGAGGGGAGGGAGTAGGCATGGATTTGATCAAAACACCTTATATGCATGTATGAAGTTCTCAATAAAGTTAAAAAACAACAAACCACTCAATGCAAAATGATAATGATGATAAGGAAGATGGAGAGGCTGATAATGAGGTGTGGAAACTCACTGTAGTATTTCTGCTCAGTTTTGACATAAACCTAAAACTTAGTCAACAAATTACAGAAAGGAAAGCACAGAAAAAAAATTCCAAAACAGTTTAAATGACAGTTTATTTTGCATCCCAGAATCTGATACTTTTTTCTTTTCATTACTACCATTTTATTAAAACATGAATAGTGCTTGAAATTTGAGTTAAAATATTTATACATGGAGGAGTCATTAGTAATCTTTTAAAAATACACACAGTGGAACTGGGCATAGTGGCGCACGTCCTTAGTCCCAGCACTCAAGAGGGAGAGGCAGGGGAATCTCTGTGAGTTCAAGGCCAGCCTGGTCTACATAGCAAGTTCCAGGCCAGCTGGGGCTACAGGGAGACCCTGTGTCAAAAATACCAAAAAAAAGAAAGAAAGAAAGAAAGAAAGAAAGAAAGAAAGAGAAAAAGAAAAAGAAAAAAACAACACACAGTGGTTACCCTATATGTCTAAGTAAATTATCACTACGCAGAAATCAGGTTTAAATGTACATATACACACATGCAGATGCAGATACTCTTTTTCCCTTTAATTCTCAAAACGCTTTATCTACCAGGTCAGCTAAGAAACTATAAAATGCTTAAACAAAACTTTTACTAACAGGATCATCTTTCTTGTTAGTCAGAAACAACAGTAAATTATATGATGCTACCAGAGTCTTAAAAGATGTAAGATGGGAGCTGAAGGTATTACTTAGTGGTAAAGCAATTGCACAGAGTGTGGGAGACTCTGAGTTCAAGCCCGGGCACTGAAAGAAACATACATGAGGTATCTAGATGGTCTTACCACAACCCACCTTTGCTTCTATGTTAATGTGCCTCACTACCTCACGCCAGAGCTTTCATTTTTCATTTTTACTGAGCAAGCATCCCCTGTATTAGCAAAAGCATAACACCTAGTTTAAGTTAACCACCAGGAACTGATCACTTCCAGGTATATGCTAAGGTCAAAGAATACAGTTCTCAGTGAGAGCAGAACTGACAGGAGATGTTTTAAAAACCATGGAGAGGTATGTGTGCCCATCATAAGAATTAGTGAGACCTACTTACACTGAGTAGAAGCCAGGGATGGTAAAATGCACAGGGCATTCCTGCATGACTTTTCAAATATCCTGAAAAACCTGTTTACAGCTACCTGAATGCAGATCTCAACATCATTAAGCCAGTATAATAAGTTATTTTTGATTTGGTATGCCTTGTATTAAATTTTCCTATAATGTAGCTACTGCATAAACCAGGATTTTTGTTCTGCTAAAAACTTTTTTCTTTTGTCTTTTTGAGACAGGGTCTCCCTGTAACCCCAGCTGTCCTTGAACTCAGAGAGCTCTGCCTGACTCTGCATCCCAAGTGCTGGGACTAAAGGCATGCACCACCACGCCTGGCTAAAAACTTTTACCATGAATCCTTTGTTCATATGTGAGTTAGAAATCTGGAGTATTCTAAACAATACAGCATTGTTCAATCTATTGATGATAACAGATCTCATATTCAGGTGGCTTCTCACTGCCTCTGCCTCCTGCTGTGGAGATGACTGTGCAATCAGAGTGTAGGCCAGTGCACCCTGTCTGGCCCAGGCACAGTACATCTATGCACAACTTGTTCATGTTCCTTTCTGAGAACTTTGGCTCTCTATCTATAAAACAAAACTTTATCTCCAAAGATACTTTTCACTGTGATATCGTAAGATTATAAACATTTTCAAATGTACTATTTCCTTAGTGATCTTTAAACATTTAGAAATTAATGACAAATTGTCTTGATATCACCCAAATGTTTGGTACAATCCTATCAGCTCCTGAAATAATTTACCTTCAATCCTATGAATATTACAAATATGAATTAGACAGGCAGTAATTCTTGAAAGCTATCAAATTGATATATAGGGCCAAGGCAGATACACTGAGTAGAAATTTAAACAAAGGGATACATATTATCTTTCCATAGTACTGTCGCTCTCCAGACCCTCTAGAACCAATCTTGTTGAAAAGCTGATGGTATGAGGGCCACTCCACAAGACTACAAGCAGAAAGAAGTCACCCACTGGCCAGATTGAGTTCCAAGTGTATCTTGCTATTCTTTGCTCTGAATCACCTATCTCCGGTTTAACATGAAGCCCACTACTGCTAACATTTACAGAACACTCAATTAGTGATGTTTAAGGCTCTCTCAAGGATGTTTCTGTTCTCATCAACTCTAGGAATAGAAATATAGCCATAAGAAAACCAAACTATAAAAACAGACGGGCAGGGGCTGGAGCCATGGACCAGTGGTTAAGAGCACTAGCACTAGCTGCTCTTGCACAGGACCCAAATAAGGTTCCCAGCACTCACACGGCAGCTAACACCCATCCTTAACTCCAATACCAGGGGATCTGATGCCCTCTTCATGAAGGGCTCTGAGGACAGCAGGCATGCACATGGTATACTTATGTACATTTAGGCAAAACGCTCATTCATATAAAACAAAAATAAAATTTTAAAGACAGGCAATAGGTCCAGAGTCACAGTTTATTAAGTTAAGGGTGGAGATGAGTATTTGGCCACCCTAAGGTATAGTACTCTGAATCCTGGGTTCTTGTCTGAAGCAGCTCTAAGTATCTCTAAAAGTACCCAGGAACTGAGAGTAGTCAGGCATGATCTCAAGGGAAACACAAGCAGCTCAGAACATGGCCTAAAGGCAACATCATAATCAACCGTGTTAGTGCACTGGAATAGGGAATTTATACAGCATTTCTTTCTATGTTGATACAATCCTTTAAATTAATGTGGTAATGACTCTATCAAAACATAGAGAATCAGCAACATTATATACCATATTTTTCAAGTTACGTTTAAAAGAAAGATTCGGGGGGAATGGAGATATGGCTCAGAGGTTAAGAACACTGACTGTTCTTGCAGAAGACCTGGGTTTGAATCCCAGCACCCACATGGCAGCTAATAACTGTCTGTAACTCCAGTTCCAGGGGATCCAACAGCCTCTTTTGTCCTCCACAGGCATTGCATGGCACAGGTACACTTACCTACATGCAGGCAATACACACATACAAACAAAATTAAAAATAATAATAATAATAAATCAGGCTGGAAGGATAGCACAGCTGTTAAAGGCTAAGGCTAACAACCAAAAAATGAAAAATAATAATAAATAAAATTTTTAAAAAAAAGAAAGATTTTGAACAACTTTTCTTGGAAGTATTTGCTTTATAAGAATCAAAAAGTTACAAAAGCTTCTGGGCAAAGAATAAATGAACAAAGGAATAAGAAATACTCATTTGAGGCCTTACAAATTATATCTCCAGTTTCTGGCACTGCTGTACACATCCACTCCATGTACTAAATCTGGAGGACCCAACATAGCACCTGGAGAATCACTGAGCAGCAATGGTCTCTCCCCTCACCTGTCCAGCATAGTGCTCTATCTCCTCTGCTCTGCTCTGATACCAGTCCATAACCTTCTCCACTGCCAGCTGGGACATCCTGTACCGCAGTAGCTCGGGCTGTACAGCATACAAGAACTCACTTTCATCTTGGAGGCTGGGCTCTACCACCATTCTGCAAAGCACAAAGGAAGCAATTAGTAAGTGACTGGAATACTGCAGAAAACAAAGTTTTTAAGAGAAAGGCAAGGACAGAGATAAAAGGAGACCAGGTGACAGAGATGGGAGAGAAAGGAGAGAGAGAAACAGAGGAAAAGAGCGAGGGAGGGTCTGTTTTCTCACATGCAAACTTATGATTTAATGAAACATTTTTGGAAATTTATTATTTTCCCACTGGATTTCCTGAATTCAATAATCAGGACAGAAAACAAATTAAGCCAACAATGCCACAAATCAACCAACCAGGTATTAAAAGCCGAAAAATTTTTACAAAATGCACACAACTAGGTGCCTTCTTTGCACCTGCTACCTCAAAACACCTATGCTAGCTAAGAAGTCCAATTTGAATTAGAATTAAGAAACCATCCTTTCAGTATTCATAAGAATACAAAGAAATGCACTGTATTTATATTGATCATAAACTTCTACAGGACACCAGCAACACAGCACTGCATTGCATTACATTTGCACAGCACAGGACTCCTCTATGGCATTCCCCATCAGTAGTGAGGAATAAACACCTTAAAGGCATGCGCAAAAAGAATCACAAATTATGAGAAGTTTCTTCTAAGGATATCCATGGTGGACTGTCTTCCAAGGTAAAGATTAATTTAGACTTCTCAGACGGACTCTAGGGTCATTCTTTCTTTCCAGTGAGCTGGCACAGTAGTATAGGTGGCTGCTTATTGTGATCATTATACAGCTGAGAGCTTCGGAGGAGAAGAGAATTTGAAGGACTAGTCTATCACTGAAAGCTATTAAACTTGTACAAATTAGTTAAAACTACCCTGAGGCCTCTTATATTTATTAAAATAATGCAGGTAATATTTTGAAAGAATGCTGTGAAAGTACATAGAGAACAGTCCAGCACAAATCATGCCCTGAATTGTATTTAGAGCCACTATTTATTTTTACTGAGATTCCCTTTTTTTTTTTTTTTTTTTTTTTTTTTTGAGACAGGGTCTCCTTGTACCCATAGTTGGCCTAGAACTTGCTATGTAGACCAGGGTGGCCTCGATCTCACAGACATCCACCTGCCTCTGCCGCCCAAGTACTGGAATTAAAGGCATACACCACCACTCCTGGCTTTTACTAAGATTCATAACAGTGAACATCTGATTAGCAACAGAGCCATAAGTAACAAGGCAGTTTATCCACATGCTTCAGACTACCTACTGTGCATACAGTTGGTGCTGCAGTAAAGCTCCACAGTCTCAGCTCCTCTCCCACTGAGATTAACATTATTACCTGGGATCCATCCCCAACTCTGCACACAGTCATCCTGGAGCTTTTTAAAACCACCTCACTTCAGCAGAGAAAGCAAGCCAGCAGAACTCTGAGTTCCTGAGCCATGCTTCTGGGCCCTTCCCTGTAACCCTCTCCACATCATCTGAAAAGAATGAATGGATTCCTCCTGGAAGCACACTGCCTGCTCAACCCAGCATGCCTTACATGTGGCTGGGATTCTTCTAATCTTTTGGGCTGCTCCTTTTCAGTCACCTTTGCTATACTATTCTACTCTACCCAATATTAAATACTAGCATTCCCAAAAACCTAGACCAGCTCTCTTCCCTTCTCTCTTGAGTCTCGCCTTCAATTCCACCACATTTGAGGCTGTACCGATTTCAAATTTCATTCATAAAATGGGGTCTTTCTCCTTAGAACATATTCTGGATATTCTAGAAGTGATGATATGTTTTAAAGATCATTTCAATCTGAAAAGTCTCCTCTGAGTTGACCTTCCTCTTTGTAGACTGGACACTGGTACAAGTTCTTCTAGTGGGGGTCTCCATGGCCTCTCTGAACAAGCGGACAGGTGACTCACCACAGTCACAGGACATTTTGAGAGATGCTCCATAGTCCCCTGGAACATAGTCGACCTTGGGGGGCAAGGAGCAAAAAACTGTCCTTTAAGTCTCTCTGACCAGATTAGTATAGGTCTCAAAGTATGGCTGTTAGACATCCAAGAAGGCTAGTTTCACCAGTCTGGTACTTTTAATTACAATGTGCTGTGTCAATAAAGCTTGGGCAAAAACCAAATGTTCTCAGATAAACCTTGACTAGACATATATTTTGTTCCTTTAACTAGTTGACAAAACTATGACCTTGGAAATTTTACAGTTATGTGTATATTATTTTTGTTTCATGCA